GAAGGATTAAATTGAGTAGTTATTTTTTTTATTATTATTGTGAACATTATTTGACACAATTATATTGTACTGCTAATTTGTTTTGTATTGTACTTATTTACACTGCTATTATTTTTTGTGTTTTATTCTGTTAGACATGTTGTTTTGTATTTAAGTTATTATGAGTAGTTATGTTTTGTTTTTGTGGTAGTGATTGTGTTAATTGTCTTGTCTAGTGTATTTAGTTAGTTTGTGTTGAACTTGATCGTGAATTTTAGGAAGGTTTAGAATATTACTTACTTTCACTTAAAAACGTCATGTTTAAAATTTTCAATTTACTATTAGGTATTTTCTTTATGTTGTAGTTGTAAATTTTTGTTAGTGTGTTTATTTTCTTTTATGTTATCCTCCACTACATAAAAGTCTAATGAATCTCTATATGTTAAAGTTAAATTAAAATTTGATCAATTACTTTTTACTCCTATTATTTTTATTTTTGTACTTGTATATTTAGGATATGAAAATTCTTGTAAGTATGTTATTTTTAGTTTTCATTCCCGCCTAGAAATATAAGATGCTAACATGTTTTATCTTATTAAAATGTAATTTTGGGGGGTGAAAAACTTTCTAAAACTTGAATTTTATTTGTTCTCAAATGTGCTCCAAATACATTTGATTTTAATTTGTAAAAAAATATGATTATATATATGAAGTTATATTAGGGAAGTAAAATTTTGAATATAAAAATGAGTAAGAGAATTTAGTTGAAACCTATAGTAATGAAGAAAAACTTAAAGTAAAAAATTTTTAGTGTGGAAATGATAAATATTGTGTAACTATCTTTAGTAGGAGATATTGTATTTTTGAAAAATATAGAATGGTCGAAGTTTTATTTTCAATACTTAAATTTCCTTTTATTAAAATAATTTTCATAACCAAATTATATTTTTAAGTAAAATATTTATATCAAAACTTCGCTTTAGGAAAGAGGAGTGGAATTAAAAATCATTAAAAGCCTATTCAGATAAAGTAATCTTCACCTGAAAAAAAAAAGAAAAAGAAAAAGGAAAAGAAAGTTGAAAAAGGGAGGAGAAGCTTGAGGATCAGTGCCTAATCAAAAATTGGTTATGCATCTAATCTTCCTAAAGTATAAGACTTGTAAAACTCTTAAGCTTAAGGATATAATATAGTAAGTACAATTATTCTTAATAAACATTTTTGTGGAGAGGATAGAAAGACTAAACTTTATATTTTAAGAATTTACAATTATTTCTGAACTAGATGCAAACTCATATTTCCTTACTTCTTTACATTAAAAATTTCTAAACTTGAAGTTGGTCTCATGTACTAATCCTTTTTTTCTAAATGGGACTACTATATTTCTAGATCAAAATTTTAGAATATTATAAAGAAACTCATATACATAATCTACTTATATTTGGTTTTGAAAGATTGGCTGTCACTTGAGATCAAGTAATATTTAAAGTTTGGAGTATTTTGATACACCTAAAATATATAGCATTTATGTACATATTTTTATACCTATTTTTGAGATATTACGCTTTAATGGAATGTATTTATGTAGTTTTAGACAAAACTCTAGAGTGAGAGCTAGTATCTTCCCTTCTTAGGTCATCTTCAAGGCTATTCAAACTTTAAATTAGCCAATATTTTTTATATCATCTCTAGTAAGGGTAAAGAATATTATTGCTCCTATTTTACACGCAATTTTAATACTTCCACAACAAAATTCCTAAACTTGTTGCTGATTCTTGATAAGGAAAAAGATATTTTATTTATATTGCCTTCATCTTACAAATATCTAGTTAAATTTAGTCAGTTGTTTACTTTATTTTCAATTAACAAAAAAAAATTTACCACAAAGAATCAAACTTTCATTCTTATTATAGCATCTATAGTTTGAGTAAGAATATTTTGCAAAGTAGAATTTGTTATCTAAGTTCTTCTGATTTAGTAACACATTGTACTTCTCTCTGTTGGTTCGATATTCGGGGCTTAATAAAAAAGTCCTATATTGTTTGATAAAGATATGTATACTTGCATAGTATCCCATATTTAAATATAATAATTTCATTCTTATTTGCTTTGAAGTTAAGTTTTTGGTGTCGTTTCAAAGTAGGAAATATATGTAAGAAAAAATTAAGAATATAATCGCATACATCGTACTGTCATATAAGATTGAGATCAAGCTCCAGTGCAACATTTTATGAAGATATTTTCCAAATACGAAAAAGTGTTGATGGACCCATTAGAAAGTTTTGCATACTAATCTGAAGCAACAAAGGTAAGGCTACTAACAAAGTGGAGGAAAAGGAGAGCATCATTATCCCCCATGTTTCAACAACTTGCTTGAAAGTGTGCAACATGCAAACAAGGGTTTCTTGTTCTGTCAATAACCTACGAGAGAGGAAGTACAAAGCCCTTAAGGTACTGGATGGAAATGAATTCCTTTAGGTAGGTCCTATTCTTCAGGATTCATGGTCCGCCCTTAACTTGGGCCACTGTTTCTTTAACCTTTTGCTCAACAAGTTGAGTAATTTCTTTCTCGATAATCACATTTTTTATGGGTAATCTATTTTATGATTTTATATATTAGTTTTTGTGGATTGTTTTTGGTCATCAATGAAATAGACCAACTCTGATTGGTACACTTCAACAAAAAGTATTTGTTACATTTATGGTAAACTGTGCAGAGTTGCTGAGGTAGCCATCATCTCTTCAGCCTTTTTCTTGAGTTGACTGATCTATTCATCTCTTTTATGTTTTACCCTTTGTTGTTCTTCAAGAGGATCTTTTCCATCTAGTAGTGGTATTTCTCGTGAAGATGAAGTAGCTCATGTTTCTACCTTATTCACTTCAGCAAACTCCTCATCCATGCTATTAAGGGATTCTCTTTCTCGGTCTTTTGATAGTTGCCTGACATCAGCTCTTAACTTCTCTAACTTTTCCTTGATTGAATTGTTTTGATTCCTTTGTCTAGTCTCATCAAGAACTAAGCTCAGGGCTCACATGTTTTTGTTGTAACCTTTCAACATCATTGACTTCCTCTAATGGCTTAGGCTTCCACACATTTTTCTTTAGTATGGGACAAAGCAGGATGTCAACTTATTGAGAGTTGATATAATCCCTAACTCGTAAAAGATTTAGAAGTGAGTTCATAACGGTGGATGCCATCTTAGCCTTCAACAATAATTCATCATGGATTGGTAGAAACGTTAAATGAGGTTGTATTTTCTTACTTTCATTGGGGAAGGAACATGCACTTCTAAAATAATGGTAGTGTTTTGTTTCCTTGGTCACAAGCAGGTTTAGCAGATACCCTTGATGGAATGATGGAAGTTCTGGTGCCCACAATTTATCAATCACCCAAACAAGGTTTGGTGGAGGCCTGGTGTGTATCAGACTTGTGATACTTATAACTTGGATTTTCTTCCTTGAGAATTTATTTCTTCATATGTCTAAAAACTGAACATGACATTTTGTACAAGAATCGAGCAATCGAGTTCCTTTCTTTCTGAGCACGCTTTTCAAACACAAAATGAATGTTTAAGAGAGATGAGCTTTTTTGCCTTGCTAGTAGTGAAAGGGTCGGGGTGGACTAGTAACAATCTAACGAACACTTCCCTCACTGTGAGCTACAGAAAATGAACAAAACATGCTCCATCCTAAGAGAGGAGAGGTCTCCGGAAGTCTCATATCCTTAGGCTTATTTGGCTTTGTCTTGTCAATTTTATTTCTCGTTTGATTTAGATAGGAATGGTTCATGTTCCTTTTTTAGTAAGGTTCAACGACACAGACTTTCACCTGGACCTAATCTCAAATACAAATGGTAGCGGAGCACAATCTCCTCTTTCTCTTTAATGACAGAATTTCCTCCGAGATTAATTTTCATTAACTCAATGGTATGGCGAGCAATGATGGACTTGAGGGTCCTCTTGACAGTAGAATCCTTTTCAATATGAGTCCTCTTCAATTAAGGGAACACTTGGTCGAAATTTAGGTTGAATTCAGGTACTGGCTCTACAAACTCTATAGCAGTTGTCTTTATTACAATGTGTGGTATGTTACCAAGCACCACTTCAATTTCATGTAAGAAGGGATAGACCTACCTTCCTCTCTTTCCACTCTTATGAGAGTCTCCGACTTCACCATCTCTTAATAACTTTCTCATCTCTTGCTAATTCTTCCCTCAGGCGTAGGGTTCAGAGCGAATATGATTTAACAGGAGCATTCCTATGTTTGTAATATGGACGGGAACTATGACCAAGTAATAAGCTCGCAACCAAGCAAATATGGACTACGATGAAATTAATTTTTAATTCCTATATTTTATTATAAAAACAAGTAGTTCAAATATTATATTATAGAGTTCTAATTGGATCGAAAATTTATTTTAAAAGAAAAGCAATGTGATACTCCGATAGCTGAAGTAACCTTCTAAAAATTTTGAGAAAAAAATTGTTAGTTTCATTTAGCTATTGAGCATAAATATAACTAGTATAATGCTACTAAAAGAAGCTTTTCCGTTTACGGAGTAAAATAAATAAGGAAAACGAGATTAACGAATGCAACTAAACAATGATAATCCTGAGTGAATGTCCTGCAACAAAAATAAGCTCATAAATTTATTTCCATAATGATTTTAGCAGGAACACAAACAATAAAGCCGCACACGAAGGCATTCTTCTTTCCATTTTATCATCGGTATTTGCGTAGGATCCGTATTGTTTTACTTTATCTTACCGGACTAAATATCCATCGAGCAAAAGCTAGCTCTCCCACCTACCCCCAACTTTAAAATACAAAAAAAGACACAAATAAAGAAAATAATAAAAAATAGAAGGTCATAATGCAAAATCAATTTGGGAAATTTGCAGTCTATGGGAGGTTTTGGGACCAATAAATTCACCAATTTGAAAAAAAATACCTTGCAAGTGTGCATTCTACTTATAAAACCCCTAATAACCGTTCTTAAATTTTCCAAGGCTTTGTCTGTTTAGCAACATCCAAAATGTGCTAAACGTGATAACCCCAGCCTTCCATTACTTTTAATTATAACTCTCCATAAGTGATCAAGAAGCAGCAAGAGGTAAGACGAAGATGGCAAGGAAGTGCTCTCATTGTGGGAACAACGGGCACAACTCCAGGACTTGCAGTAGTTCAAACAATAAGTCTGGTGGAGGGCTGAGATTATTCGGAGTTCAGCTTCAAATAGCTTCTTCTTCTTCACCCGTGAAGAAGAGCTTTAGCCAGGATTGCTTGTCTGCGTCTTGCTACACGCCTTCCAATTCTCCTTCTACCTCATCATGCTCGACTTCTCTGGTTTGCATCGTTGAAGCAGCTCGAAAGGTGTCCAATGGATATCTCTCTGCTTGTCTCAGAACGCAAGAAAGGAAGAAAGGTAAGTTCTTGTTAATAATTTCGGAGTTGGAGCCTCATTGTTTAGAGCAAATTGATTATCCTATTACCTCCAGTTCGCTTAATGCAATCAACTAATCACCTTCTATGGTATTTAGGAGTCCCATGGACTGAGGAAGAACACAGAGCGTTTCTTGCTGGGTTGCATAAGCTTGGAAAAGGCGACTGGCGAGGCATATCGCGCAACTTTGTCGCTACAAGAACGCCAACCCAAGTGGCCAGCCATGCCCAAAAGTATTTTCTGAGGAAGAACAGTCTTAACAAGAAGAATCGTCGTTCCAGCCTCTTTGATGAGGTAACTCCACCACCTTCAAATCCATTTCATCACCTTCTTTCCTCAGCTTATACTACTATATGATTTACTTCTAAATTTAATTTCAGGTTCGAAGCTGTGAAAGGCAAGCTCATGTCAGTGAATTTCTGAAGAGCAATGACTACTTTTAAAAAAAAGATGCACATGAAATTAGTTTGAATAACAAGCAATGCAACCTGCATCTATCTCAATTCTCCAGCATCAGAGGACAGGTTTGAACTACTACAAAGTTCACATCTTGTTCCTGAAATTGTTCTCAAAATATCCTCAAGTTCTTACTTGATGGGAAATTAACATATAATAGTATAGCATAGACTTTCTCTGAATGACTTCATAGAGAAGAAAGTGCAGTGAAGACGCTGATTGCTAGAAGGGTTGTGACTTTTTTTTTTGTAGATTTGTATGTCTAAGTACTGCAACATGTTTGATTTTCTAAGAGTTAATGCTTAAAGCAACAATTTTTCCTAAGTTTAGATAATTTTGGAAGCTTATCTGTAAATAAAACATAGTTTGTGAAGCTTGAAATATATATATATATATATAATTGATGGAGAAAAAGCGGTTGTTCTCTCTAGTAGGGTTGGAGGCGCAATGGATTCAACTTTTCTGATCGTGAAGGTTTGGATGTGCTTTCTCTCTATTTTGGTACAAATAGATCCTTTGTTGATATAGTGGCTAACTGAAACCCACCTCTGGTGGTGGATTTCAAAATCTATGTCTTTCCTCTTTTTTATCACGATACCTTGGATAGCACAAGGTGAGCAACCTTTTGTTAGGAAATCAGACAAGAAGAATGGCAGACCAACTATTTTTCTCTCTGAATCAGACACCTAAGCTTTGGCTATCCCATGTAAGTTTGCTTTGGTGGTATATTTTTGTATGGTCACCCCAAAATGGATATGATTTGGAAATCCTTTGACAGCTTGAAACTACTTGTTGATTGGAAAGTTGGCCTTTCAGATGTGAGACACATCCTCATTCAATTAATTAGAGAGGAGGATTATGCTTGGATATTTGCCAAAAAATACTTTAAAATTGAAAATAAGAATATGAAATTACTCAAGTGCTCTGGTGATTGTGATCCACATATAGAACCTCCCATTTTTCCAATCTGGTTCTAGTTTCCTGGGTTGAAATTACATCTTTTTAATCACAAAATTCTCTTCTTTTAAAGTGTTATCTTTGGTAGACCTCAAATAGTGGGTCTTCCTACTAACAATCTTACAAGACACTCGGCGGCAGAGTTCTTGTGGAGGAGAATGTCACTCAACCTATAGTAGAAGAAGTTTGGATTGGCTCAACTTATAACAGATACTGACAAAAAGTTATTGTTGAACAACATCGTCATTACTATAGCAACAGCATAATGTTTGGTCATTTTCTGGAGCAATGTTATATTCGACATCTTGAATTCAAGAAACCTTATTGTTCAAGCTAATAATCTTCATAGCACTAACTTTCAAAAAGAAGTTGTGTATGGAAAAAGAAGTTGGGTCTCTAAGGTTTTAGATGTTGAAAATGAAACTTCATTATAGTAGAATGAAATTAGAAGGACTAACAATCAGGATGGGGAGACTGTTATTATACCCAATATTATGAGAAGGGAAAAGAACAATAATCAACTGTTTGGGAGGAAATTAATGTTGACATCAACTCATCGCACTTACAAATTTAAGAAACTACAACAATTCATCCTCATGTCGAGATAGTGGAGGACGATGTGGATTCTACTCTAGTGGATGAAGCTTTAGTTTATGGTAAAAATGAGATAAATGGGGAATGGAGTGTGCAAAAATTTTGAAGGGAAAAGAGTGGTAATTAAGATTTGAGGAATCTGGAATCTAATAACATCATCAATTATGAGGAGGATTCTAATTCTAACTTAGATAGAGTCAGTGCTCTTATTAGGACTACTAGGAATGACCAATTACCTCAAGATGATTAAGTTTATAATCTGGAATATCAGGGGAATTGTTGATCCTTCTTTCCTGGATAGACTCAAAAAATTGATTAGGATCCATAAACTTTGGTGTTTTGTAATTTTGAAACCAATAATCACTATTAACAGAATATTGATTTTGAAAATTCTGGGAAATTTTAACTTTTCTGCTAATGTTAATGGTAAAATTTTGCTATTTTCGAGGAAGGAAACCTATATTCAAATTTTACAGGATGATCCATAATTTCTTCATGTGCATATTCACATGGACTTCTTTCAAGATTTAGCCACCTTTATTTATATGCAGGTTATAACAACAAAGCCAGAGTAGGACAGTGGAAGCAACTTATACAAATTGTCAATTTCTTGAATGGTAAATGATATTGTGGTGGATATTTTAATGTGGTTACTTGTAGTTCTGAGAAACAAGGGGAGTATAGAGATTGACCACAGACTCATGTCTAAATTCAATGATTAAATTCAAGAGGATGGTTTATTTGACCTTGTGTTTATTGGTCTTATTTTCACATGGGAAAGTGGTAGAGTATTTGAAGGTTAGATAGAGTTCTTGCTAACCAGGAATGGGTGTCCAACTTTCCTTTTCTACTGTCAGACATCTTTCTAGGAATGACTCCAATCATACACTTCTTATTTTTAACATCTCTTTTATTGATATGTCGTCTTTCTCTCCTTTTAGATATTTTAATACTTAGTACAACCATCTAGATTTCTTGAAATGTGTCCATCATGGATGTAAATCCACTGAGGTTTGTAATACTTAATTTAAAATATTAAAGATACATAAAACACTTCTAGAACTCTTAAAAAGTTGAATTGGGACATTTTTTGGGAACTAAATGTTATAGTGAGAAATGTTAAAGTTGAAGTTTCTTGGCTGAAGAACTTGGAGGTTGTGTATGGACATGTTTATGCTGAGCTGACCTCTGCAGAGCAAAAGCTCTTGTCTATCTTCAAGTGCGAGGAGGATTTCCTTAAACAAAAAGCTAATAGTGCGCATTTTATTGATGTGGATAGGAATTCACTTTATTTTTATGCTTCAAGAATAAACAAAAAATTAATGTGATCCTGAGAATTACAGATGAGCATGGAAACTGGCTAACCAAGTAGGGGGATATTATTAAAAGTGGGGTTAGTTATTTTTAACAAATTTTCGAGCAAAATATAACACAGAGATATCCCATTAAACATGAACTATTTGAGGAACAAAGGCATTATACTGAAACCCTTCATTTAAATAGGATCCTATTACACCCAAAATATATAGCATTTTTGTACACATTTTTATACCTATTTTTGAGAATATTGTGCTTTAATGGAGGGTATTTGTGTGTTTTTATTTCAGGTAAAATTAAATGGATGAAATATGATGGAAGGAGTGAAAAAATGATCAAATTTGGAGCAAAAAAGGAGTGAAAATGCACTGTGGAGCCTAAGCTCCCAGGGCTGACTCTTAAGCACTACAAACAGAGAAGGTTGTGCCTAAGTGTCAAAGATTTCACGCTTATGCCAGAGGTAGTTATGATGAAAATTTGAGTAAATTTGAACAAATTTCAAGGGGTGTTTGAAGCAACTTTTGGTGAAAACGTGGATTACAGTTAACGTGTACAAAAATACATTGAAATAGCTTTTAAAAAAAGCAACTCTTGGAAGATTCATTGAATGTGGAGACATTTTGAAGAGACATCAAAGCACCTTTTTGAAAACTATCAAAAGGAGGACATAGATTGAATCAAGATAGGAAAAAAGAGAGGAGATAGAAATAGATAGAAAGATAGAAGTCTTATGACACTTTTAGAGAGTAGAAAGTAAGGATTTATAGGATTTTATTTAGGGTTCTTCTTATTTTTCTCATTCTTAGTGAATGAGAAAGTGATCTAAGTCAGAATCCATTATTGTTTATTAGTGACATAGAGAGATTTTAACCCTCTAAGGTTGGGCGAGTAGACATAGGGAGGATTGTAAGATAAAGGAAGAGATTTAAAGGAGCTTCAAGTGTTTAGAGGAGAGGAATTTGAGATAAGTTTTTATCTTTATGACTACATTTAGTTCTAATTTAGACTTCTTATGCTTTTACATGATTTCTACTTTTAAACTTAATTATTGTTGTACTTTCTCTATGAATTCTGAGTAGTTTTCTTTATCTTTTCCCTTAAAATGATAAGTAAATAATTGTTTGATGGAAGTTTGGTGAAGTTTTGATCTATAATGCTGAAATAAGTTATGATGATTTAGTCTTTGTACTTCGTTTACTTTTTGATTTGAACAATTAAGTTGTTAAAATTTGTTATGAGAAGATGTAATATTTGTTATAGTATTGTTTCAATCAACTAATGGTAGAATCACGTATGGATGGGAATGTAATTCATATGAATGAGTGCAAATAAATAAGGAAATAAACTTTGAAGGGTGGAGAGTTAGAGGAATTTAGAGTTACAGGCTAAAACTTCCAATTTGATCTATTATTTTAGGTCTTGATATGAGAAGTTAGCTCCTAGGTGGAGGGAGAAAAGGGAATTTTAGAGTGAGAGCTAGTATCTTACCTACCTAGCCCGTCTTCAGGACTATTCAAACATTAGATTAGTCAATGTTCTTTATAGCATCACTAGTAAAGGTAAAGAATAATATTTCTCCTATTTTACACAAAAAATTAAATACTTTCACAATAGAATTCCAATACGTGTTACTGATTCATGATAAGGAAAAAGATATTCAGTTTGTATTGCTTTCATCTTACAAAAATTTAGTTAGTTATTTGCTTTATTTTCAATTATCAAAATTATCAAAAAGAATCCAACTTTCATTCTTACCATAGTATCTATAGTTTGAGTAAGACTCTTTTTAAAGTAGAGTTTGTTATCTAATTTCTTCTTAAAAGTTTGTAGTTCTCCCCGTGGGTTTAATATTTCAGGGCTTAAACAAAAGTTCTATATTACTTGATAATGATACTTATACTTGCGTAGTATCTTAATATTTAAATATAACAGTTGTACTCTTATTTACCTCAGAACCAAGTTTTTGGCACCATTGTAAAGAAAGAAATATAAATAAAAAGAATTAAGAATTTAACTACACATACATAATAGTACTATCGTACAAGATAGGGATCAAGTTTTGGGCTCTGTTGTCAGGGAACTTACATCTAGTTCTTAGCAGTGGAGTCAGAAGCAGAAGTATATAAAAGAAAAAGGGATCAAGTTTAGGGCAACATTGCAGGGGTGAAAAAGAAAAATTTAGTATAATTTGAAGAATTTTTTTAGGAAAGAAAAATTCTATGTTTAGAAAGCCTTATTTAAACTTTTTGATTTATTATAAGAATATCGTACTGTTATTTTTTTTATAAGTTCTTGTTTGTTTGATTTTATTTTATTTTATTTTGTAGTAATGTATGCATAAATCAGGTTGTAAAGGACCAGTGCCCTACGATTCTGAATTAGAAAGAACTATTAGAAAAATTAAAAAATTAAAATTATAGGAAAAGTTCAAAAATTTT